TTTACTCACTATAGGATGCTAGAATTATTTCAGAATTACTGAGATTTAATTCAGCATTATTGTAAGCTTGGGTCTCTCGCAAAATATCGGGTGTTTGTTAACTGTTAATGGACACACTGATGGTATACTTACCTTCTCAAAAAGCTTCAAAGCTCTTTCAACTTCAACCCAGGTTCTAAATTCTTAAGGTTTAATATGCTCTTCGAAAACCTTGTTAATATCAACTCTGATCGTGCTGTCTTTACCACATTCACTCGTAGACCGTTGTATGCTATAAACATGGACGTGAAAGACATTGTTTTTCTCAGATTTCTACATATCAAGTAACGAACTCAGTCAGCAACAATAATGGCAACCAACAAATGAACTGGAAACAAGACCTTCTGCCGGTAAGAGTAAAGAATAGACGCCAAAGTCAAATGACCTTGATTTGACCAATCAGGTACCTCAGCATTACAAATGGTTGCTAGTCATAATCCTCGTTGAAAATGTCTCCCAGGTTTGTCTTTTGACTTCTCTGTGGAAAATGGGTTGATAGGAAGGCATAAGACATGCATATGTGTAAGGATAATGACTCTGCAAAACTATTGCCGGGCTGGGAACAGTAAAGAATAGACACCAACCTCAGGCGACCTTGAAATAGCCAATCAGATTATTCTAGGTGAAAAGTGGTACTCATATCAGTGTATAATTTAACAACAGAGTCCTTTATCCGGATTGTCTGCTCAAGATCATTCGGAAGCTGGTATATTTAATCATCACGACACAATCCGGCAAGCAATTGCTTCGACATTTATTTTTTTAAAAGTATTTAGTTCCCAAGCTTACAATAATGCTGAATTAAATCTCAGTAATTCTGAAATAATTCTAGCATCCTATAGTGAGTAAATTCTGAATCTGTTCTGAAATGGTTTGTTTAATGGCACAGACTAGAACTCAGTGCTGACTAGAACTAATTCAGCACCGTGTTCTTTTTCTAGGCATTTTTAGGAGTAGATCAGAACATACTGGGTTTCCTTATCAGCGTTGTTCCAGCCCTTACAGGACATATTAAGCACTGACTAGCATTACTTCAGAACGAAAAGACCTAATTCAGCACACAGTGGCAATTTTTTCAGCTTAATTCTAGCCTTCTCAGCACATATTCAGAACTGACTAGCATTACTTCAGAACGAAAAGACCTAATTCAGCACATAGTGGCAATTTTTTCAGCTTAATTCTAGCCTTTTCAGATTTTGTCGCATTAATTCAGCACCCAGCTCTCTTTTTAAGCACGACCAGCGTTATTTAAGAACATAGTGAGTAGAAAAAAATTTTCATTTACCATAAAAAGGCATTATCAACGCATAGGTTAGAATAAGTTTAGAATTGTTGTAAGCTTGGGTTACTGGAATCGACTACACATACTAGTTTTTAATATCCTTTGTTAAGACTAGTGGCTATTGGATATCATCTGGTTAAATGATAGAAGTCTTTTGATAAGCAAGGCAGATAGTTAAATAACTTTGAGGCAAAACGTGTGGTGCTTTTCTCATGACTTGAACGGCGCACAGCTTAACCTCAGTCAAGGCGCAAATTCCACTCACAGGACCACGCCTAAATGGCGCCGTCAAAGGGCGAAGCAATCCATAACTGGTGAATTAATAACTTTTAAGTTTGTGAATTTATGTGTATAGTTCCATAATGGATAAGATAAGTTTTATACTAATATCAATTATGTGTATAGTCCTTAAACACTTTTCTTCCTTGAGAGTGGTACCAGTTATACAGATATCCCAGGTTATATGTTGAGGAAAAAGTAACGCATTATCTCTATGAATAAAACTAAGCTGGTAGTCGACTTGAATGTCAGTATAGCATCAAATAACCTATTGGTACTTCATTTTCTCCAGCTTTTCTCTTTATGTAAAAATTACGTTTATAATCGCTGTAATGCTGTTCGCAAATAGTCTTTTCAATTTACTTTATGCTGTTTGATATCTCACTGCCCACGTAATACGGCATTCCTGAGGCCACAAACTTATGGTATTTTCTCCAGCTGTTTTCATGCTACTTTCTTACTCCGTATGGCCTTACATGCACCATGACTTAGAATTGATGGATCTCATATCTTTCAGGAACAAACCGTTTATCTGATTCAACTGCTCGAATAATCGTATCGCCTATCGGTTTTTATCTGATATCGGAATCGAGCGAATCACAAGGTTTTGACAGTCTGATATTTTCAATACCACGTATAACTTGTGACTGCTGGCATTTAAGTAGTGCGCAGCTTCAGAACCAATGCATCAGCACTGCCGTCTTTTGATTCATGAACCGTTGCGTCGTTACCTTTAGTTGGTTAGGATATAGTTATTTTAAAAAAAATTTTGATTACAACTGGATGCCACACCGTATTTTCAGTACAAGTATGGAATTTTCAGCATGGATATCGGTAGCCCAAATTTCGCAGTCCGACCGTAGATATCGGGTGTACGTCGGCAGGGGATCGAACCCGAGACCATGTGCATGGTCGGCGAGAGTCCTAACCACTGTGATGTTTGAGGGACGTACAACTTCACAGCTGTCGAATAAACAACATCATGATTCGTCAGACAGCGTGCTTCTAAGGGCTGTCAAGTTGGCTAAGAGGAAAGAGGTCGAGAGAAATCATATACCAAAAGCATCGCAGGACTCTTAGAATTCTTTTTGGCAGCTTGATGCCTAATGTTATAGAAGTCTATGACTGACGAATTTTGAGATCCCCTGTATGCACTTAATGCTATTATTGAAGTACATCTGTCAAACTGATTAATTCTGAAAAGGTTTGATACTAAAGTGCGATTGCGAACTGCCATAACTCTTCAAGAAGTCAAATTAAAATCTTCTTGACGCATAGCGTTATTGCCTATGCCCGTTACACATATTGTTTGACGCAGCCTCTGTGTGTGTATTTCGCCACTACAGACCTTCAGTAGTGTAGACTTGAATGTGCCATTCATAAGACTTGTACGTAGAGTATTTTAAGTTTCCAATATCAGACTGGATCAAATGTGATCATCAGGAGCAATAGCACTTTATGGATTTCTAAAAAATCTCAAAAACTTTTACGAAATCCCAGCACCAAAAGGCCTTGAACTAACCATAAAATTTGACTTCAGTAAGGAAATCAAACTATTCGACAAGACTTCGATGGAGTCATCTATGTAATGTGGCTGAAGAAATCGGTCAGAATAACTGATGATGGAGATAATACTCAATGAAGTCTCTCATTGTCCACTTACGCACCAGCTGACTGCTATTAGGACTACGGAAATAGATGAGTTTTTTCAGCTGTTAAAACTGAAATGTTTAGGTTTTTATTTTGGCAGGTGATTTTAGTACTCAAACAAAGAAGGTTGGGGTATTTGTGGGGTCCCATTCTGACAAACAGACGATGGTAGTCGTTTTGTACAAGCCACTAACAAGGTTTAGCCCTAAACACATGGAGGGACATTATCAAAAATGGTCATCACCAACATCAAATCAGTGATAGGCGTGTATCTGCTGTGAAGATCGGGGGAAGGTTGATGCGTGGACTACGGTCGTGCACTTGTGCGCGAATCAGATAACGAGTAGTTTGCGTTCGAGTAGAAGATACCTAAACATTAGTCCGAATATGACACCAATATTCATTAAGGTTGCCTACTGTCACACCAACCTGAAGCCAAAGTTTAGTAAATGCCAGTGGATATCAAACTCTCAGCTTCAAGGAAACTCATTTTGGTGAACTCCGGGAAAAAATGAAGGAGCACCGCTTAAGTGTTATATGACAATAAGTCTTCGTAACCTGCTCGAATATATATGTTGTAAGTTGAGTAACACACATGGACGACTAGACTTTAATAACCTCTTACGCGAGATGACTGGAACACTTTCAACCAGCCAAAAGACACACTTCCCTCCTACCATACGACTTCAATCTAAATGGAAATTAGACGCCGGTTCCCCAATTTTAGCCGTTGTGCCCAATGTCGTCCTCGTTATTAAAGAAGAGCAGGATCTGATGGTTCAGGTTTAGAACTACCTGTGAGCGATACTGAGCCCAATTAAAGTGTCTTGTGTTCTAAGCCCACTTGGATAAATTAACCGTTCAGAGCACTCAAAATACAGTAATTTCAGGAAGTTTATCAAGCTTAATTAATTTGTTTTCTTACTTTGAGTCAGTGTTTATGACATCTACTTCTTATACTAACCACACAAGCTGATTAGCTGCAAAGGCGTGTGAATTTCAAAAGTTTATTATGAAAGGGAGAATAGTGAAACTGAACATCAGACTGTCAAAGGAGTTGTAACTTGACACGAGTTGAGGCGATGATAATAATACAACTTGACGACGACCCTCAAGCCACTACAGTGAGCGGGAACAAAAGTTTTAGTTGTCATGAATAACGATTATTATTGGTGTCAATCAACTTAGCATAAAATAAATCATTACCGTTTCTTTTCATCCCAACATAATTTGGATGTACTGAAATTAGAATATTTGTATTTATCCACTATTCAATACAATAATACAGAGGTAAGAACACTAGGGCTTCGAAAATCCAGGAGCTTAACTAACTCTTAAGGCAATTTTACACATGTTAACAGTTAAAGCGGTAGGTCTACATACGATTCACTGAATGGAAGTGGAGACATTTTTATAACTAGTTAACAGTGATAGATCAGATCAATCACCATTTGCGATTCCTTTCCATTCTGTTTCAGTCTGAACTACTCAGGCAGCACTACTAACTTGAGTTAGTAGTGTAATTTACACAATTCCAGGTGCGATCTCATCAGTTTCTTCCAGCAAACGGAATTATTCAGACCACACAAAATATGATCTGCGTGATGCTATTGAATAGCTATCTCGAAGTAGGCATAGATACATGACCCTTATATACTACTACTGCTACTAAAAGGTTGACATGAGTAGTGCTCAACTAACTTGTGGTAGGTAATTGGACTGAGAAAAACCACAGCAATGGTAAAAAAAGATTTATTTTCACAATTAATTTATACAAGTTAAAGAGGCAATTATGAAAGGTGCATGTATAATTGACAATGGGAATTAGAAAAAGAGACAAACAAATATATGTATTTTTTTTCAAGTCGAATTATCTTGTTGGTCATGCAAAAAAGTTAGTACAATAATTCGCTGGGTACGTAGTATATTGACTGAGAAAACAAAAATAGAATCAGGATACAGAGTTCAGTGATATATATGTATATATATACCTAAAATCCTCCATCTGGTTGACTGTTCATAAATGCCTCTTGAATCTCTTTCACCATTTTGATCCGATTAAGTATGACCTGTAGTTCAGGCGGTTGAACAGGTTCGGTAGAGAACCATAAATTCAATTGTGGTGGATATAGTGGATTCAAATAGAAGACACTGTCAGAATCGAGCATTTCTGTGGGACTAAAAGGCGAATGAATAAACAAAATCAAAGACAATAAACATCACAGTAGTGTTATTTATTTAGTAAGGCATGTCAGAAATTTCACCAAAAAACATTATTTTTTAATTCTTCTTTTTATTGCTCTCCGCTATTTTTTTTACTATGACAGAATATTCCTTTGTAAATTGATAGGATCACTCATACATATAGAACTGACATTCACCATTAATGAATGCATTAAAATATCACCGATCAAAATTGTGCAGCAACATAAACCATGGTGCGCATTATTAGACTGAGTGCTATTTGCGATTCCACAAAGTTGGCAATGCACCACACCACTTAGTGTGTTAGGCCTGCCTGCCCAAACCTCAGTGGTAGGTGGGGTGAGCTTCGGATCTGTTGGTAGTCAGGTGCCTAAAGTGGGGGGCAGAGCTAGGGGCTCAGTGCTAGCAATTATTGAAAATATGCAACCCAGAGGCCTAGTTAAATAGTTTTTGATCCGCATCACACACATATACTGTTTCGTTTGGAGAATGAAAACACTAGCAACAACACCGGAACTTACCAATGAGAAAAGTAAGCCTTATATAGCCGAACAGGACATCGTTGTGGATGTTGAGGATTTGCATCTAAACGTAAGGTAGTAACGGTATCATCTGGTTCACCGAGCATATGACCAGGTAAATGACAAAGAATGGCTGATTCAGATATTTGAAATTGTGAAAAGGCTAACTGTCGATGAATTGTCCCAAGGCGTAAACCAATATGCTTTGTATTGTAATATAGCATGGTGAAAAGTAAAATCTAAAGAAATATTAGAGAAAGAAAATAATTTGCATTAAAAGCTAGGATTTGAAATATTTTTTATATTAAAATCACAGTTACTAAAACAATCGTATTATCGACTAGTCAATGTGGGATCTGATTGATTATACATACATGAAGCAGAAGTAGAAAAGTGTTCAAACAGAGAAAACAGTGTGCTGTGTTTTGATTGCTACTAGCCTACTTTCAATTTTCCTCTTAATTATTTATCAATGTGCTTCAAAGTAGAGCAGTATTTTGAGAAAGGATTAATGTTCCTGTGAGTGATGAAGCTTTACAAATCTAATTGACTGAATGATCGTAGCAAGAACTTTTTGTTTATTATTATTGGAAAAAGCTCGGTACATTATGGACACCAAGAGATAAGTTACACAAAGTCTTAATTTACTGCAAGGGCTGGGATACTACTACTGCCCAGAAGTTCAGACCGCAGCAGGTGATTTTGTCTTACGGGACCACTTTCCGAGGCTTTGACATGAAGTCTGATCCACAGAGTCAGAAGCTACGTTTCCATGGTTGACGGTGGCCAAAACATGTTCATGCGCCAGTCGATCCGTTCGGATTCTAGAGCCCTGTAGACCATGAGTTATGGAAACAGGATTTTCTAGCTCTCCTAGGTAAACCAGCATGTCCACCAGTCCAGTTGTAAGCACCAGACGTTCGCATTCGTCTTTTCACTTTCGTAAGAAACACACCCCACCGCGTGAAGGTAGTGAATATGAATACTGGGCAGAGGTTCTGAACGCGTGGCCAAATGACAGCACTTTGAGAGGAAGACAGAATTCGGTAACTAAACTAAGGCGAACCAAAGCGAAGCTACCTACCTACCAGTCAGATGAGTTCGAAGTAAAAGTGAGTAATTTGAAAAAGAAGTCTATGTAAATGTAGTGTAATGTTAAAAAGTAGTTAAATAGAGTGGTGTTCTTGTATATGTCCCAGGAAAACTAAATTTCTGTACATAAATTCGGCGAGATAACTGTAAATCATGTTTTTTGACCCATTTACTGCTCTAATCCTCCTTTTTAAGTGACTTCAGAAACTTTCAATGAAATCTGTGTTGGTCCCATTATAAGGATTAACAAAATTGTCAGTATGACTGACTACATTGTGGCGATATAACCCAAGGATGAGAGTTGGCTGTAACTACTCCATAGGTCTGTGTGTATGATTGTGCCAAGTAAGACTGAACGTTGGATAATAGGTGATAAACAATTGACGCTACATTGAGCGATCGTTTGGATATATCCTTTCAGCAATATGGTGTCATATTGTAACGACAGAAGACACGGGCTAGACAACAGATCGTTTGTTGGGAAAATCAAGAGGCATTTATAAATTTTTATGCAACCTCTTCTGATTGGTTTTTTCTTGCAGAAGGTTATTCTGTTATCTGTTATGGCCGTTTCTCAGAAAGTCAGGCCATATGTATGCGAATCATATCTCCACATGTTAACTTCACTGTTGTTGGCTATTGATTTTCTCAAGGTTAAGTTTTGTTATTGTTTTTCTCATGCCCCTGATTCGGGACGTGAAAGTTGACGCAAATTGTTGTCTTTTGGCTAGCAGCCAGCTCTTATCCCAATATAATCCCAAAACCCATTGGATGATTGGTACTCAATCTACCTCGATTGTATTTCCTTTTTATAAGCACTGTTTCATTCACAAGAACAATAACAGCCAGCGGATGTATCTTCGTAAATGCATTACACTTTCACAACATGCTTTCTCCCCTCCAATGAACCTGTTGTCTATACAGTACTTAGCTACCAGATTTAAATGAAATCTGCTACGTAATTTGTGTACAGCATACATAATCATACCTATATACTAAGGGCTCATCTGATGGGTTGCTCAAGGTCATTAGTCTGTAGTTCATGCAGACAATCTTTGTCTTGTACCTATATAACTGAACTGCATTTTCAACGTAGTACAGTAGCTCAAGTTGCTACACACTCGAAAGCAGATATAGAGGTAGAGATGATCTACACCTCCCAATGGGGTTAACAGCGAACAAAAAAGACTTTATGGAATTATGCTGTGTTTTCAATTTGATCACCTTTAACTCTTTCCCAAACCAATCCTATGAAACCTACCCGGCATTGCTCAACGCAGAAGGTGATGGGTTTGGCATCGATAACACATGTCAGTATAATAGACAATGTGGGTTGATTAATTAACAGTTATTATATCTTGATGCTTGAGATAGTAATTCATTTCAGTTTTATCACAAGGTGACTAATGTCTATATCCAACTTCATACAATCGGTATAAGTGAGGTCTGTCCAAAAATTCGGCTAGCGTTAATTCGACATGTAAATCTGGGACTGTCACATTTAATTAGTATCGACATAATTTACATTTTGAAATTATAGATGATTTGCTACTGTGAATGAAATTTTTGTCCGCTTCAATTACTATTAGCATGTTGGTGTATGCTAACTCTGTAACTAACTATACCGGAAACAGTGGAAATATAGTCTACATCTTTTTCAGTTAGCTCAAATTAATTTGGTCTGTCCATAAGACAATTTATGATCAACAACCTGTACATCAAAATATAAAGACTACCTTACCACTCAGTAAACACATATGTAAGTCTGTGAAGTCATATATATATATATATATATATATATATATATATATATATATATATAGTACTAAGAATAAAGATAATATCCAACTGACTGGTCTCAACAGAGAACTTTGCACAGATATTCAGCAGTTCCAGTTGCCACAGTTCCCTCATTGTATCACACAAAGCAAGAGAAGAGAGTTAATGTAGGTTCAAAAGACAGATAATAAAAACTGGGAGGAGAAAAGAATAGTAATATGGAAGAATAGAGTTTTATCGGATATGATAAATCACAGAGAGTGAATGCATCTGCACCGGCCATTGAGAACGATTTTGAGTCATATCACCGATTGTCTCCAGACACTGGTGTTTATCATCCGGAGGACCCCAACCTACCAGTCAGGAAGTCTACACCTCCCTACGTGACTGGCTTAAACTAACTGTGGGGATTTATTTCATTGACTGGTGATGAAGCCATGTCTTGGTTTGACCACCGCTACCACTAGCCAACTCTTTTTCAACCTGATCCATCCTATGTCAGCCTCTAACATTGACTGTTGTCGAGGAAGGCGATCGATGACTAGGCTAGGCATGCATGTCCTAACCATCTCTCTCAACCTGTGTAACTTCACAACCTCGTCGATTGATTTCCCCTCCAACTCACCTATCACTCGACCAACGCCTCACCTCAATATTGCTCACTCTATTATACCACCTAACATAGGAGACACAACACAGACAACTATGATCACAGACAGCTAGCTAGCTAGCCGAGCTTTCCATGTCTTCCACTTTCAACGGGGGACCTGTCTCATTCACAGGCATAAAGGAGGACAGAGTGAAGTGACTGCTGAATGTATCCATTATAATCCTACAAAAGATCGATAATAGCCCACGTAGCGCAGTGGTAACTCTATGACTGCAGCATAGGGTGACACGGGTACGAATTTCCAAGCAGACATCACATCTAACCCCAAAGTTCCCCACTGATTGCCACCAAATAACATCAATCCAAAGTGAGCTGAGATGATGAGTCGCCTAGAGTGGTGACTACAATGGACTAATTCAATTCAGTCAACAAGAAAACGGACTAGAAACAAGGTGTCGGTCATTCACTGGTGATCAATCAATGTATGATATCGACTTTCCTAAGTTAAAATGAACGAAAAGCTTTCGAACTTTAAGCTTTTATGGATAACGATATTATGCAAGGAGCATCAGTGTTTTTTTTAAATTCCACCGCTTATTATTGATAATGGAAAGTAGTTTCTTCTTGTTTAATAAATTCAAACTGGTTTAATTTTTTTTCACTCTTTTAAACACGAAGTTGGGCGGCATATAAGGGAAAAGGTTGTGAAATTGGACAAGAAACACCTAACTAAAACATGTGATTGTCAAAAGAGATACCTACTGGGATGTAATTACAACAACTTAACTTAAAAAGCAGGAGGGAAGTACCATAGACCGATTAGAAAAGTGAATTTACAAATAGCATGTATATCCATAGGCATAAAATGTAAAAACACCAGTTTGTTTACTATATAAACCTACTTCAGCTGACTGTGAACCTAACTGTTTTGCTTCCCATAAATGTTCTTCTTCTATACGACAGATAAGGAGACCTTCTGGACTAATACGTGGTTGAAAATTGGCCAATATTTCATTTAAAGCTTGAGACAGGTCAGTAAACGCAGGATCTCCAAATAGATTTACAATACGCCCATTTTCATTCAGATACTCTTGGATACCTTTAAGAATAAAGATCATATTCGTAGAGACAGGTGAAAATTAACCTTCAATCACAGCAGAATCAAACTAATATATGTAGGGCAAACATTTCGCTTCGTACATTCAGGTAATCGAATTCCTCTTCAAAAAACGGAAGGCTTCACATAAAAATAAATTACTGACAGTACACTAAATTCCAATCATCTCTATAAATGTATTACCTTTCACTCACTAAAGTGCATTGTTATCTTAACCACAGAGATGCTTTGCAACTACTAGGTTGGTGTAAATGCTCACAGGATTATTACGCCATCAGATTTCAGAGATACAACTGAAGAACATCTGGAGGAGACTCAATATACTTGCAGGAGTTGTACTGATTTCAGGCTAGATTACGAACTGATATCAGCTTGAGAACAACTGAAAACTTGGGAGTACTGGATAGTCGTTTTATACTAGTTGGAGACTCATCAGTTCTCTACACATCAGGGATTGAAACCAACACATTCAGGTAACGAGACGAAACCGTCGACCATTCCAATCGCTGAGACGAGTGAGATTCACGTGTTCTGGGTTAGATCCCCGATAGTGGATCATGGGCATGTGCTGATGAAGAGACTCGAATTACGATGAAATAGCCATCTAGTAATTCCTAGTTTCCCCCAGTGGTTCAATAACTGAGGTTAGTTTGTGATAGAACTTAATATATATATATATACATATGAATACTTTACTTACCAAGACATAAATAAAAAATGGAATCAGCAACATAACATTCATTATTTGGCTTTCGAACTTCACGAACAAATTGACTCAATGCAATGTTTAGATCTTCATCACTCATATTTAACAAATCCGCGTATAAATGTGAATACTGTTGCATTGCTGCTGTAGATCTAGTTTTATCAGTTGATGAACACGCTGATCTTTGTTGTACCCAATGACGCCAGGCATTAATACCATAAGAGAATTTCAAATGATAATTAGCATCGGATGTAAGTACGGGTGTTAATAATGTTTGACGTGGTCGTTTAGCCGGAGGATGTGAACGATTACTTGTACGACCTTCACTGGACGAATCACTCATTGATGTTGTCCGATGCTGTTGACGAAATGATGGATTAGTATGTTCCATAGGATGCATACCAGTTGATTCTGAAGTCCATGAATCTGAGGACGACGATTCTTCTGGCGCACGACGTTTAAGATAAGATGTATTTTCAGCTGCATCACAATCGCCACCTTCATGCTATTCAAAAAGATTCAAGACACAAATATTGTTAAGTTATACAATAATAAATGAGTCAATTAATGCATACTAATTACAGTAATACTGCCAGATAATGATATCTTAAACGAATAGTTATTAATGCAACAGATAGAATAAAAAATGATCTGAAGAGATATAATATGCATTTTAGCTTCTTCGGATGATTTCTGATGGAAAGCTAAAAAATGAGTTGTGCTGTTAAATATTTCAGGAACTCAACTGGTGGAGAGCTGGAGCCAGATAAGTCGAACACTCATACGAACTGGACATTTGTCCTTTCTTCAATCATCCGAAGATTCAACAAACACTCGGTTTATACCAAAATCCAGCACAACTTGGGACTTTTAACAACTCACCGAACATTCGCTAATTGACTGACAACTGGAGAATGTGAAGGCAGTAGTGGTTTGCACTGAGACAAATATAAATCACTTTGAATTCACACCCCATATGTTGTTATATTCATAAGTATTACGTTTTCCTACCAATAAGAACTTTCGTTGTTAAGGGGGGAGATCAGTACAGATTTTGTCATGAATTAACGTCAGTAACTGTCACAAATTAGAACCAAAAAAGTGTGCGCAGTGTTTTTTCGTGGAGTTCTCAATGATTCTCTAATTCACTTCAGAGTTCATGACAAAATTTACACTGAAATTATTATTCTCAATGAACTCATCACTCCATTCATTCATATTAAATATTTGATTTTCAGATAGTAGGTCACACAAGTTCGGGTGTTACTTCACCTACTTCAGTCTAGGCAACCAACTGGGTAGTATCATTAGCTGCTCTCATACAATAACTGTGTGTGGTTGATAGCCTGATATATTAAAGATTTGCTATGCTATGTATAGTGCAGTTAAAGAAGAAGACCGAAATTGTGGAAGTAATAAAATAATTTAGGTTTGCGTGTCTTTTTTTTTCTTCCCAAAACCTATGAAGCACAAGTTCAAAATACAATCAGGAGACCGAAATTTCGACAGCTAAATTATAACTAGCTATCTTTAACATAATATGTATGCATACCTCAATGTTTAGCAGTGAATATTGAAAATAAATTTCAAAATGCATGGGATCTAGATACCACGCACAAAAAGTAACAACAAGAAAATAGGACATATATATATATATATATATAAAACATCATCTGTGTTAACGACAGTGCAATAAAATAGCACTAGTTTAAAGGCTGGTGTGCGTCCGTAGTTCAACGGTAGAATACTCGCCAACTACGCACATGTTCCGGGTATCGACCCCCTGCCAACGTACTCCTAAACCTCGCCTAGACGATAGTAAGCTCAAGAAAGAGGGGAGGTTGGGCACGAGGCTAGGAACGCCATCACGTGAAAAAAAACTCCGCTAATGCTAGTGAAACTTCAAAGCTCAAGCCTGAAGCCCTATCTCCTAAATCAGAACACAAAGGAATTAAATACTATAAGATAATAATTAAAGGCTAATAAAAGTACACAGTAACGAGAAAGTTATTGAACCTTTCAAAACTAAGACAACTATGTGAGTTAGTCAACACACCCAGAGGAAACATCAGTCTAATACACTTAGGAAACGAAGAGGAGTTTACACTGAGAATTACAACTGAAATGAATTCACCAAAAGTGGTATGGTGCAGAACTTTTATTTATTTAAATGTATAGCATAACTTCATAGTCCTGTAGTTTGTTGCAATAGAAATAGTTGTTTGCAGTACAAACTTTAGCCAAATGAAGGAAATTCAATGTTACGAGTAAAGTATACTAACCTCTTCCGCAATTTCTGCAACTCTTTCATCAGTTGACATCTTTAATGCACTTGGATAGCGCGTTGATTGGTCAGGTTCTGAATCTGCACCTTGAGTGTTTACTTCGTTGTCACTTGCTGGTGAATCATGTGTACCACGTTGGCCTGATTTTTGAATAAGTGCTCTGCTGTTAGGCACAAGATCGACCTGCTGCTGCTGCTGCTCATGAACTAAAATAATTCAACAGGATGGAATTGTGAAATACTGTTTGCTGTTTAAGGTTTAAACACAAGAGTAATTTAGGATTGGGGGATTTCATCATGAGCTGACATCGATTGGAAAACCAACAGGGAGTACTGGGTAGCCAGCTGTTTCGTCTTAGTTTGGGACTCTTCGACAGTACACACCCACTGACAGGGTTCGAAGCACGACCTTCTGGTTAAAAGGTGAGCTAGCTCGTAGACCATTAAGCAACTGGGATCCAATCGATCCAATGGCCAGTGAATGCATGAATTCCAACTTCTGTCAATTCATGATATGGTGCGACCACTTCGCAATGTCTTCTTCGATGAGTTACTGCCTCACCTTCAACCTGCTGCACCCTACTGGTCACGGCTTCACACTAGAACCCCAGGTTAACCGCCTGAATAGGGCCAGTCGCTAGTGAGCATCAGATCAACTTTTCAAGAATTAGTTTTGTAGGAATACTTTCACTCTATTTTAACATTAGCAATTAATAACAATGTTATTATTATTATAGCGGTATTCAAACGTAAGAAGTCACTTGATCTACACAACAGATCGTCTGAATGATAGTTTTGACATTCATACAAATAACGTTAGTGGAAGTAATATAATTCAGAATCAGTAAGCTGTAGCTTCATTCTATCAGGTGCTCCACTTTTTAAAGCACCTAGTCAAGAGGACTTAAACCCCGATTTATCTGGGCAGGGCAGCTAGGTGGTAAGCACTGTTTTAATCATATCGACATATCTGTAGTTATTTTACTCCCTCCTGAATATTAAAGAAATTGTTTTTACAACCATGACTGGTTTTGTGTCGTTTATTAGATTAACAAAGATCTTATATTTTCAAGAATTGGTTTTTGTAGGGATTCTATTTGTCTCAGATTAGACGATGGATTGATATCAATCCGTGATGTAATCTGAAAGATTTTATAACCATTCACTCTCCACTTAAGCGTGTAATTTTTTAATACTTCGACCCCCCCCCTTACTCATTGTGAGACACCATATGAAAATGTATGCATCACAGTGACCACAGTTACTATACATTAGTTTTAATGCAGGACGGTAGGTCTATCATATATCTACATATAGCTAAATTTTTATTTTCTGATAATCTAACTAGTCACCGATCTACTGACTTCACGACTATTACATGGGTATTTGGAAAAATACAGCATTATTATGTTAAATTCGGCCTATTGGATCCTTAAGTTAACAAAATTTCTCTCGGAGTTAGTGAGTCAAAATGTAACGCTAATTTCGTAGCTGTATATGGCAGTACTGTAGGGGGATGGGTGGTCTGAATTCCTCATCACTTTCATCTGATGATCATTATTTTTCTTTTTTCTAAGAGTTATTATAAATTTTTGAATGAATTCTCCAATGGGTAATTTATTTAATACTAATGTGTACATTATTCATTACCTTTCCACCGGTCAAGCGCACCTGACTGGATTACAACACATAAACATTCAACTAAATTTTGGCGTTACTGAGTTCATGTGGGATGATTCAAAGTTTAAGTACCAAACAGAGCGTGACGATTTTTCTTTTATAGGTGTTAATTCTCTAATTTCTCAATATGCTTTCATTTTATAGTCTGCATTGTCGCAAAAATAATTCACCTTCTATTATTGAGTTTATGTGTGAAGAAATTAGGGATATGTTCAGATTTCTACACAGGAAGTGTATGTGTATGTATCGTTCACATATCTCCATCATAGCTTAGAAGTTGGACTAAACTTAGTAAAAACTTTATATTCACAAATACGCATAAATATATCTGATAGTAATGGAGAAATTCGTGATCTAATTATCTCGCTCATTTGTCTGTTGATATATTTTACCTTGAAATTTGAAGATACTAAAAGTTAGAGATCACAGAGGTTATACTATGAGCAATAAATGGTAATTGGAACATCATCCAATTACTAGCATTATATCACTGTGTTAAATTAGATAAAGTCAATCGATGAGGCTATATGCAACTACATCGATTAGAAAATGGCTAGGCGTGAGCAACACATGTCTTAGCCACTGCCTTCCTTGACAAGCAATGTTAGCTGACATAGGATTAGGTTGGGAGAGTTAGTGGTGGACAAAGCAAAACTTCGCACCAGTTCATGAAATCTCTAATAGTTAGTCTAAGCCATGTAGAAGAGTGTAGACTGTCTGGTTGGGGTCCTCGGGATTCTGACAATCTATGAGGACTGGAGACAATTGGTGTTATGGCCCAAAATCGTTCTCAGTGACTGGCACAGATGCATTCAATCCTTTGTGATTTATCATATCAATTAAACTCTATTATTTTTCCATGTTTCTATCCTTTCAACCATCACATTTGTGCTTTTTATGGTTCTTAAGGATCTTTCTTTTCTCTCACTTGTCTTCCTGGCATAGCTAAACTTTAAGCACCAGTAAATGCCAACGGACAGATGACCATGAACGCACCAACCGTATGATAAAGGTGATTTTTTTCGTATAAAATGCATATTTTCATGAAAATAATGGATTAAAAGGCATTAAACTGTTACAAAGGATACCTACCTTCCTGTAAAGTGTGACAGAAATACCTTTCGCTTTTGAATTGGAGTAATTTAACCACATTCTATACATGTAATATCTAGTCTTCTAACCCTAATCTTTCCTTAACCTAAGCCTAACGTGAAAATATCCCTAAAATAAGCCTAATCTAACTCGAAACGAACATAATTTCGCCCTCATTGGAATTAACCTAGCCCTAACCTGTCCTTAGCCTAAACCTTAACATTATCTGTCCCAAACCCAACCTGAAACTTGCCATATATTCCATTTAATAACATAACACTTCATTAAGCATACTTTATTCATGATTACAGTACTATATACCAGGTTTCACTAACTTGTTCGCTGGGCACCTCAAGGACATTGGTGAGGCCGCACTCCACTGGTACCTACTGGTGCTTAAAGTTCAACTTGGCTATCTTCCTTTGTGAGCTACATAGACAGTGTGACAACTTGGATTTCAGCACTTCTGTGCAAAGTTCTATGTTGAAACCAGTTGGGCAAATCGCGAATAAACTTACTTAATAAACAACTGTTTTCTACCTTAGTCACCAAATTCTAATCGCTCCTCTCATTATTAGACGACATTCACTCTGACTTAATTGTGAAAAAAATTATGACTTCAACATTTTTCCAAATCGCATAGATATTTCCTGCTGTAATGTAACTAAATTTTGAAGTATAGTTACGACACTTAAATAAATGTTCTAATCATTCAAAAATTAAACAGTATGTACAACTTTTAGAAATGTGGTAAAAAATCATTGACAATAGTCAAGCAAATTGCTACCAGTAACAGGCTTGAATATTTCTGGGAAGTTATCGTTTATCAAACAAAAAAAACTTATTAAACAGTCCATCAGATAAATTGAATATTTATCGTGTTCCATCCCAAGTTTCTACTACCTGCCTGTGATTCTATCATATGTTGTAAGTTAAGGAGAGATAAACGTGATATATATATATATATATAAAGTTGACGGAGTAGTGTAGCATCCTAAAATTTATTTCATGAATCAAGAGGAAGACAATTTTTTAGACTATCCTACTCTATGTAAGTCTTGTTTGAGGTGTGTGACTGACTGGATGACTAGTTCCAACGCAAAACTTTACACAGATATGCAGCAGTTCCATTTGCCACACTCCCTCAATGTAGCACATAAAGCAAGAGAAGAGACAGTGAAGGGTTATTCAAGAGACGGAAATAATAAACACGAATGTGAGGCAAAAAAAATAGTAATATCGAAGAACAATAGAATTTTATTGTATGTTATAAATCAGAAGGAGTAAATGCATCTGCGTCAGCGAATGCAACGATTTTCGGCCATGTCACAGATTGCCCACAGCCATTGGTTTTTACCATCCCGAGGACCCCAACCAGTCAGTCAAGAAGTCTATACCTCCCGATGTGGCTGGCTTCAACTAACTGTTGTGGATTTATTCCGTTGACTGATGAAGTCATGTTTTGGTTTGACCACCACTAGCTAACTCTTTTCCAACCTCATCGATCCGTGATGAGATTTCATCATCGATCAACCCGCTGGCGTTGGCTGATGCGACTTCCCAAAATAAGTGAAGTGGTCAACACACTATACCTACCACTTCACTCCTTATCTCTAAGCTAGGAGTCGACGTTGTCCACTTCAGTCCTGTCGCATCATAGATTTGACAGGAGTGAATCGCATGCCAAACACTGGAAGATTGGAGCTCAAGGTGTTCAGAAGAATCTGTATTTTTTCAGCGTCTTCACCAAAACGGACTATATCATCTGCGTATTTTAAGTCAATGAGATTATTCTCTGATGGTAACAAGTTAATCGCCGAGTCTCTGAAACCAGTTAGGGTTACGTCCATTAGTATATCTATGATAAAATTAAACAGGAATGGAGACAGTGGGCATCCCTGACGGACACCATTGGTAGTCACCATGTTTGAAGTGTGTGTGTTTATGTATGTATGCATGTTATTAAATGCAGCCTGAAAGTAGTAAATACAAATAGACCAACAGTCAACAACATTACCTTCAGTAAGTGAAGCATCTGATGAAACAGCATCGAAAACAAGCGGAATTGGGATTGGACATGGTAGTGGATAAGGGATTGCATATGGCACTGGTCTTGCATATAAACATACAGGGAATGGTACATAGATTGGAACTGGGATAGGAATAGGTAAAATAAGTGGCATCTTCTTTAATTCATCTGGATCAACAAGATCTGAAAGTACAAATAAATATATACTTAAGTATGACACTAGCAATGATGGCAACATAGTTTTAAGGAGATGAAATATTAAGCCACATTGCTAAGTCTGTCACTTTAATAATAATAAAAAATAATAATAATCTGAATACACTTCAGCAAAGAAAGGAATTAGTACAGATCGTTGCTTACTATCACATGATTGTTCAAAAATGCTAGTGCTACTAGGCAAGCGTATTAACACTTGGATGCTTAAGGTTTAGACCAAATCTTTTGACTCTGTCAAGCCTCTAGTTATTTATAAGAAAAGCCGGTGATGAACTCACATTAAATTGGAGTGTGCACGCTGTTACAAAACCTCTACTACATTGAAGAAATTATAAAAGCTTTATTTATAACAATAAGTATAGTTAATATCAAGTTTAGATAAGTAGGTAGGTCTATGTTCACAGATCTAATAGCGAGAGAATGAATATCAGATCAGTGGGACTTGGAGTCAGATCTTGAAACAAATATGATTTGCTCGACTTTATTGTTTACTAGCTGCGATTAAATATTTTATGATTATGGATCAAAGAATTTTTCGAACATAAAATTATCAAGTTAGTTCTGTTGTTTGTTATTAATTAATAAGATTTTTGAATTGCACTAGAGTACGGTAGTGTATGATTACATAAAATACAAAATTTATACAAATTCAAAACAAACTTCCTACAAGTTGGAGGACTTCATCATGACATATATATATAAAAATAACTTTTAAGGAGCACAGATATTATCTAATCAATATAGTTTACGCTTGGTCTAAATTCTAGCTACCAGATTTTTCAATTAGCAATCTACGATAAAGATTGTCTGGAAGGTAGTACAGATCAGCAGTAATATGCACCTTGCACTTCTACTACAGTAAACAAGACTCTTTGATTTGATACTCGCTAGTAACTAACGTCATGCGTTTACTGCACACTGAATTCTGTCAGTCAAGTTTGCAATGTAGTCACCATACTAGGTGACTACGCCATTGCAGTGCACTCTAAATTGATATTAAATATTTGGAGGTGACAGGTAGGAAGCCTTCGACCCAGGTTCCATGCTTGTTAGCAGTCGTCAGCAAAGGTGTATCTGAAGAGCCATCTACCTTGGTGGCTGCATTGCAGAATTGGCTGATAGAATTCAATCTGCACCAGACGGACGACTAGACGCATGACATTAGTTACTACATAGTGTCTAATCAAAATATCCATTACAGTCTAAGCAAGAAATCAGTCGCGAGCATGAACAGATCAGTAGTAACCTCTCTGACTGCAGCAGTGGGTGACATACTCGTGTATCACTTCTATGGCATATATAATGGAAGCATATCGGGAGTACTTACCTGTTTGAACTTCTGCGTCCACAGATATCATGTCCTCAGTAGTTGATGTCTCAACACAACTATATTTTGGTTGATCAGACTTAATCAATAGCTGATCATCTTCAACCTCAGCCACTGGCACCATATCTTCATCATCATCACTTTCGTCTGATTTCATTAAATGTTCAGTAGTTTGTGTTTGAATCTCTTTACCAATAGATGTTTTGTTATTACTTAGTTCCGTTACACTTGAAGGTTTATCTGTTTGTACAGCTACACCATGCTGGGATAAACTATCGTAGGCTGTTGTGGCATTCGCTTGAGTCTTACGACACATGGATAGTGGTCTACATAACACTGCTTTATTACGCATAGCAACCGGAGCGGCTGGTTGTAAAATAACTTGTTGTTCAATACCCAATTGTCGAACCATATCGATTGGAACAACGGGAAATTGACCCTATATAAAAAGAGAAAACAAAAATAATCTCATAATTACAATCAGATTAGTAGGGGGAACGCGAACGATTAAATTATGCATCAATGTGTCAAACTCACTCTTAAAGGCCTACGACCTCTTGGCCGACCTCGACCACTAGTACCGGCAATAGCAGCAGCTAGACGGTAACTGGAGTCTCGATCCACACCTATTCCACTCATTGCACCAACGCCTGTCGAAACAGCTGGATTTATGATTGTACCTCCTGTTCCACTCATTCCTTGATTTACACCAGACATTGGACTTCCTGTTGTCCCAAATACGGTTGCAGAAGATGGAGTATAACGAGTGCCTAGAGACAGAAGTCCTGAAGCTGATGGCGACAGTACATTGGACTGAACCCCACTCAATCCTCCTGTCTGACCAACAGGAGTGCCTGTGCTTAGAGGCTTTCGACTGTAATGTATTAAAAACGGAAAGGCATTTAGTGAAGCAGGCAAATAAGTAAATGAAACTAGCAAAATGTGTAATTCAATGATAAGTACGCAAAAAACTGAACTTAAAAAAAATATCAATCCATGGTGCCACTAAATTCATCCGAAAATTATTCACACGAGTGACATTCAGGGAATTATTAGGTAATGCATAGTTTTATTGCTGAGTACTCTGAATAAATAATACTGTGGTAAATTTATCCAGTGCGGTTATCAGATTTTAGTGCTGATTTCTAGTCGTAACAAATTCTGATAGCACTACCAGAAACTCACAGTCTGTTGCCCTAAGATAATCTGATTAGGGATATTAGTTGTTGAAAATTAAATATCTCACAAACACACAGTATTCGCATGGATCGGTAACAAAGTGATAAAATCGCATGCATGCTTCAATTGCTTGCAAAATTTCTATACATCTACAATATGGAGGGAGATGGATGGAGCATTCTCATTGTTTACAAACTAAGTTATGTTAAAAGTTTTCTTTCACCTGAACTTTAAGTAGGAAATTCTTCATTGACTTTAAAACACCCTAAGCCGCTTATAGTAATGCTGGATAAATATGCACATCACTTGAGAGAAAATAATGCTAATGCTGCCACTTAAATGGAATGTTAATTCATTCATTCCAGAGGTATAATGTATGTCAACAGCTTACACAGATGATAATGGGTAAATAATCATGTATATTCACGGATTTTCATGTGTTAGTTTGTAGGGATGTGACTGCCGTCTCTTGCTAATGTTAAAAGCACTCATGACGATCTACTGGAAATCGAATTCAGAAGCTTCATCGTACCAGAAAGTGCATGTTGTTATTCAGCCACTAGGAAGGGATTCAATGACTTCTGAATTCTAGCTTCTAAAGACTCGCAATATTTAGTGCCACTGACAGTAATGGGTCATTATTGGTGGATATCTATCCTCACACCCAAAATGATGGACCTTATAGGTCGCGGCTTCTAACTTATACGCAAGGAACCTCACATCCTGTATTAAGCTGATTACTCCATAGTTCTCAATAGTACCCTATCAGATATATCGGTCCGCGATGAAACTTTAAACTTGATGTTAGGACTTATTTAGATTTCAAAAGAAATATTTATGACATTACAATACATTGAAGACAATTTTTCAAACAACGGAGTACTCACTTTACAATAAAATTTAATATTCATCTAGAAAACTTTTTGTTAACATTAGGTGTCCTCATCAGGTGTATGAATAATATGAAGTTAAAAGCCATGAAAAATACCGAACAAGAATACATAAGTCGTGCAATAAGATTAATGCTTACAACTGTACAAGAGATCAATTCGCTTTGTATTCTACTCAGAAGAATACTATCCTTAAAAAGGTGAACAATTGTTTTCGACTAAAATTCAGTTCACAATAGAAAAAAAATCCAAATCCAAATAACAATAATCCTGTAAACAAAGAAAAATAATTCTAACCTTGTGACATTACGTGATCCACGATTCGTATTGAGAGAAACCCAACGAGCATCATTATTCGCCAAGGTATAACCACCTCGACCAACATTTGCCTGAAGAAGTAATTAAATCGAATAAAACCATGAATAAAATCGATCAAGTGTCAAAAGACAGTACACGACGTGAATTAGAAAACCATAACTATTAGTGACTACAATGAATAGGGTGTACAATACTTGCCAAGTCAACAAATAAAGCTGGAAAGGTTACTGTACACGGTTTTATTTAAATTCAAATCTTTTTTTGATCATCAATATACCCTACTAGCTGTGTTCTCCGAAAATTTAGAGACTATTGGGACTTAGAAAGTTCGAACGTTATTACCAAGTATGATATCAGACCTCAGCATGTGATACATAGTCTAAGTTGAACTTAGAAAACAAACCACAGAGAACATGGCAGATTTTAGGATCGGACTTCTGTGGATTGATTGAATATCTCTACTCTACTACAACCGTCTAAAATTTATCATATTTCTTGACATAAAGCAGACTTTCGACTTTATCGGTGGATAGATGTTTCATGTTTGGTGGGGAAAAGGAGTGTACAAATGGAGTGAGGTTAAAAAATAAAGACATGTAAAAACTGAAGTGAAAACCTTAAGGGCATTGATGTTACCTAGTATTTTCCAAGCAATACCCTATTAAAGGTAGCGGGCCTGTTCAAACTGTAATTATATACCTTAAGATACAACTTATTCCACTATATTACGTGAGCTGTTGAACTTTTTAAGGAAATCAACCGATTAATACTTTTAGTTAAAAGAAAACTCACCTTATAACCACCAGCGTGCTGGCTCAAGTGTTGAGCTAATTCCGGTTTCAGTAAACTTTTTCCACCTTGAACACTACCTAACTGAATTTGAGCACCACTTGCATCTTGGATAACATATGTACCGGCTTGGTCGATTGGTAACTCAACCAGTTGTCCCATACTGGGATCTATGGCAGGTATGCTAGTACTGTATAAACAGCAATGAAAACATTTTGTACATTTAGAATAGTAAAACTACAATTCTGAAACTTATCATGATAAATCAGAAAAAAGGTGAACGGCTGAAATTGGTTATAAAGTATAGATTAATAGTCAGTAGAACAACTGGATCTCGTCTTTCCAACTCATATCATTTATAGGTACAACATTTTCTTGCTTTCTTTTCCTTTTCTCTCTCTTTTTTCCGTTATGTGCTGCTTTGTTTATTTCTTCCGCTTACGTCAGTAAATATGATAGCACCTACTTTTCTAACACCTTCAAACACTGTTCAACTTTGGCTGTGCTACCGACATGCCAATATGTTGCTGTCATAACGAACTGAGATTTCCTTAATCTATGTAGAATTCTATTTATTGGTAATGTACTACCTGGATGCAATACTGTAGTAAAAATGCTGAGAATTCCATTCTGTATCACAAGTACTGTTTTGGAATAAAGCAAATTACTATTATTATTATCCCATAAAAACTTGTAAAATTAGTCTGAAATACTTCATCACAAGAGTCAAGTAGCATAGTAAAAATAAAAACAAAGTGTTTATCAAGCTGTTTTGACTTTCATAAGTAAACCGTCGCATATATTTATTTTGTTCTCTAAATAAACTTTCCCAAGGGCAGAAACTACAGTCCAGATTTAGTCAGTAGAGATATGGCTCATTGGTTAAATCACTCGAAATCCGCTCCTGCTCCCCCCACTTCAGCCTGGACAACCGGTCAGTATCGCCAACCTTCATATGACATAAGTGTGACTCAGCTTGGTACGGAAAGATCTGTTTTGGATAAGTGAGTTCGGACAATGGAAGATAGCGGAAATATGACTAACGCTTTACAGTCCCCAGATATTAATTTGCCCCCTTTGTTATCACACAAGTAACCAGATTATTTCTTAAAAAGAGATATATACTCTGTTATTGGTATTTGATATGTAGTCAGTGTATTGAAGGTTAGAAACATTACTACTTACAGTCACTGGCATTATAAACCACAAAATTACAGGGTCGTAATATTGCTGAATGATTAAGGTGTCTTGCCAGACGACAAAGAAGATATTTAGCACTAAGACATAAAATGAGCAACATAGAATTATGTTAAGTAGTAAATGAAATACCAACCACTCATCAAAGTGAGAGCAAGTGATGTCTGCAAAATTTTAGACTCCGTACGTAAAATGAAAGCGTTAAATTTATGCATCATAGTCGTACGTAATTTAGAAATTGCACAATAACACTCGAAAGAAAGTGACTGATTACGAACAATAAACTTTGCAAAAAAATGAAAGTAGCCAATAACTTTTCCCTTAAAATGTTAATTAAGAAAACACATTCTCACTATTTAATACAATATAAAAAATAAAGTTGCATACTTTCAGGGCAATTCCCTTCACTGCTACACAATACTAAAGCATGTCTAAGGACAAAGTCGAATGTCACTTTTAGATGAAGAAATATGACGCCCTTGTACACTTCCTAGAACATGTTGTAGGGTGAAGATCCAATCAATGCAATTTAATCTGGGCCTAAAACCTGCCTGTTCATTCCGCTTTATCTTGACCTCACAAGTCAACAAATTACTGTCCCCTAATATTATAGATACTATACATATGACAGACTAATATCTTTGACATTATAACATGAATATTCGTTTCCTTCCTCATAAACCGTAATGACTGATGACCAACAATTTAGTGGGACTATGTCGCATTCTCATAGCCAACGCTCCCACTCACTTCCGTAAGGTAGTAGGATGATCCACCTTTCTCGGAGATTATTCCAATTACAACGATTCACAATACGTTTATTTCATAAGACTTAAAAAGTTGACCCATTACTTATTCCCGATGCATTTACATTTTTATCACTTGTTACCCACAATTATTCACGATAGGTACAAAGAATCAGTTTAAATTTAAGTTCTTGCTGCACATTGTTTGGAGCCCGTTTAGAAAAACCTCGTATTAATCATTTCGGGTAAGGCCACAGGAATCCACTGGTTCTTACTAAACACTGGTTACAAGTTATTAACTGTCTTCACAACTATGTGTGACGTAGCTCACTGGTTTAAGCATTCGACTTCCAACCAATGGCGAGCTCAAATCCTCCTTAGCTTACTTTAGCCTCGGAAACTGGATAGTATCTAAAATCTACAGATTCAGTCGGTCGGGCTTCGACGTAGAACTTTGCACCTATGTGCAGCAGTTCAAGTCGCAACACTCCATGTAGCACACAAAGTAAGAGAAGAAAGTAGGAGAAATGCATATTAAAGACAGTAAACAGAGGTGTGAGACAAAGGAATAGTAATAATGAAGAACAAAAGTTTCATTGGAAATCATAAGTCACAAGGAGTGGATGCATCTGCGCCATTGAGAACGATTTCGAGTCATATCACCGATTATCTCCAGCCATTGGTTTTACCATCCCGAGGACCCCAACCAGGAAGTCTACACCTTCCTACGTGGCTCAGACTAACTGTTGTGGATTTCATTGACTGGTACCATGTTTTGGTATGACCGTCGCTAGCTCTTTTCCAGCCTGACTCTATGTCAGCTAACATTGCCCGTCGAGGAAGGCGATGACTAGGCATACGTAACACATGTCCTAACCATCTCAGTCAATGTAATTTCACAGTCTCGTCGACTGATTTCCCCTCCTTACCTAGCACTCGACGCCTAACCTCAATATTGCTCACTTTATCATACCACTTCACGCGGGAGATAGAACGCAGACACCTATGATCGAAGACAGCTAATCTTTTCATGTCTTCCGCTCTCAATGGCCAGATCTCACAGCCATAAAGGAGAACGGAGAGGACTGTTGAGCAGTACACAGATTCAGTGGGGCTCACAACCTCGTACATGAGAAATATATACCCGTTAACTGGGTTCTAACTCACTGTTTCTAAATCAGACTGTATGCTGCACATGACTTTAAAATGATGCATACTGAATCTAATGCAATGCTGCTCATTAGTTACATTTCCTCATGTGGTAGCTTTAAGTGACAATTCATGGTAAGGTCAATACTCATCAGCTGTTTGAAATGGGAAGTCCAGGTTCCTAACAGAAGCAAGATATACCCGCAAGTAATCGAGAGGCTTAAATAGTATTTACCAACATGGGAACTGTACGAGTGAAATCAAGCAAACTGAGTGCTTTCAGATTGATAATTACCCATTTTAGGCTACCACACAGGTGTAAAATACATTCCAAGGTATGGATAATACATGCAAAGAATCTGTTTACAACATACGGGTAATCATAGTAATTGCAAACACTGGTTGTCGAGTTCATACCGCTACTGGTATCATGATAAATTAAAAGACGTAATGAAAATGGCAACGGGTGAGTTAGGCAACAGTTACGAGTGGCCAGACTAACGGTACTTTTAGGAGAGGATGATTCAGAAAAATCTCCACATAGTGCATAGGATGGTATCCTAACTAAGCTCATCACGACTAATTAGGAAGTCAACCACAATGAAATCTTTCATACGTGCAGGTTAACAGTGGAAAATAAAGTGCCAAATGTTATTACCACTAATTGTTTCGTACGATTTCATTCCTTATTCAGACTCAGCCAATAAGAATACTAAGTGACGATGGTACTGCGAAGTACGTGAGCACAATAAAATCCGACTTCTGACAGTAAATGTCAGAATACTTCGACATCTTGAGAATGGACAATAGCGCGGAATAAGTAAGAATTTATTCTAAGACGTTCTACTGCAGTTAAAGCCGCAGAAAATAACCTCTATTTTAGTAGCATAAGTTAGAAAAGCACTGGTCAATACTTCGAAAGTACCATTCGACTAAGTCCTCTCCCTGTAGTGACTCGCAAGGTTGTTAGATGAATTAACGTAGTGCTGATTATCTGGAGGCTTAACTGTTATGCATGTATAATGCTTTATATTTTTTTTTACTTGTTTCCGTTACTAGTGCCGCAATAATTCAAGAAATGCTTTTCTTTTGTTATACAGGCGCTGGAGACTTTTAGGGTGATGAGTAGGGTCGACGAAAAAATAGTTCAAGTCCGCTTGGTACATTTGTCTATCGTAAGTTATTCAGATTTATAGAACAATGGAGGTGAGTATTACTGTTACTGACGCATAATAAGATCGAAGACTAAGCGAGTGTCAGTTGGAATCATGTGCCCATTGGAAACGCAGGAAACCATTTCCACACAAATGAACCTAGATATATTCTTAGTCTGACTGACAAGTGTGTAATTCTGAAGTAACTAAGGGGTCTATTTATTATAATAGTGAAAAGTCGATCTCCAAAGCATTCGCAAACGAAAGGATACAGACTTTGTGAATGCTGAGTCATGGCACTAATCGATGCGTGTCAGTATTCGTATGGGCATTCTAATTACAGTTTGCATTTAGCCCAACAGTTGAATAAAGACAACTACTTAGTACTTAAACAAATAGGCATGCTTATCACGTCAACAAGCGAATCAAGAAACTAGTCTTAATGAATATGAGCATGTTAACCATTGCGAAAACCGTCAGACCTGATATGGTGATTAATTCACTAAACTAGTTAGACACTAGTGGTCACAAAATATTACCTTTTGAGGACATTACTCGATTCAACAATAAATCACTTCATTGTCATTAGTATTAGAGTTAGTGACTAAAAGGAATTTGAAACCCACTGGAAATCCGGAAGAAGAGTCATTTCGAATTCCTACTGATGCTATGTGAAACAGAAGTACTATTACTATTATCACACTGTCAAATTTACTAGCAGTCTTGATTTTATGTTGAGCTACATCATAACAGAAAGAGTAGTGACAATCACTTAACAACCTAATAACTACATGAATAATAGTCGAACAAATGACGTTATTGTTATATGTAGTGTTAGAACGAAAAATCATTTCCAGTTAGTCATTATTAAGGGGTTATAGAGGAATCACTGGTTTATTCTACTCTGACGACATTAAACATGGTCAACTAACGTAAAAACGAAGTAGACACTAACATATATTAAATAAAGTATGTTTAAGATAATGTCCAAGACTTCTACAGTCAATCACAATATATAAATCCGAATAACACGATAAAGTGGTATAAATACAAATGCATAGCACGAATGCTGAGGAGAATCATCTCATACACAACAGGCGCGTTGTAATTACATAAATTGTTTATTACTTCCTGCTAATTAGGTTGTATTCGTTCAAGTGATGCTGCTATGCAACTATTCACTTGAGGGTCAGTATGAGCTATCACTAATTAAATTAGTATGCCAAAAAGTAGTAGCACATAACTAATTACAAGGGAAGAAACAAAGCAAGGTTACACTTCCAACAATAATACTTACGCATACGCCGTCATGATAAACGACCCTCAGCTGCACTAAATATCGAATCAGTAGCACGAAGTCAGCACAACACAACAACAAGAATTCAGTGGAAATAATAACTGTGAAGATTTCTCAGTTCGGAATAACTGATTGGCAGAAATGCAGCTGTAATACTGTATATCACTAAAAATCCACGGACTTCAAAGCACCAACGCCCTGTGCAAAAACCAATGATTGTTTAACTGCATCAAAAGCCAAAACCGGATATTTCAATGCCTAAAAATCTATTTTGGTTCAAATAAACAAACTTAGTATTCTTAGGTAGAGTTGTGACTTAGGGGCTTCAAGGCACGGTTTGAATCATAAATTGTGAGTAATATTTTAAATTAAACTTTATTTGTCAAGCTCGGAACCATACCATATTCGCTGCTTCTCATTCCGGTTTCACTTGAAAGCTCGGAGTGTGACATCACCCAGTGATCTCCTTAGCGCACGCACAACTCATTTCTATTTCCTTCTGCATGATTGCATAGCAGAAATAACTTATTTAGTTGACTATCAGACTTCCTTGCTGCTTATCATTCTATTTAGTCTTCAAAACCGAAGTCAAATACTGACGAAAGTGTACAGTAGCTTGTGGAAAATGATTTATATGACGTCAAATCAATTGAATCACATCCGTTCCGCCTTCACCTACCTACTTTTTGATCTATGCCGATTGAAAAACATTGCTGAGAATTGGGTTTTTAAGGAACAAGAGCGCGACTGCCGAGTGGGTAATACTGTGTATCCCGTTACCACTCAATTATTTAAAACAAATGTTCTCTACGTTGATATGATTTAATTTCTCAAGTTATTAAAATATTTGGCCGTAGCGTCGGTGGCATAGAGGTTAGGACTCTCGCCGACCATGCACATGGTCCGAGGTTCGATCCCCTGCCGACGCACACCCGATATCTATGGTCGGCCTGCAAAATTTAGGCTACCGACATCCATGCTGAAAATTCCATACTTGTACTAAAAATACGGTGTGGCATCAAGCCGTAATCAAAAATAAAAAATAAATAAAGACTTGGATGCTTTTTATTCAATACTTCTGTCTAAAACTGGAAATCAACCTAAACTCTGGCATTCCTATGTTTTTAATTGAAGTAATATTAGAATAAATATATATTGGACGCGTGCACGCTCCTTGAATACGACGTGCTTTTTCCTCTCCAACTGGAAAATACCTATTTTGTGAATTATCCGCTTGGGGAACCAGATCCTCCTAGCCGGTGTATTAAATTCAACCATTACTCACATATTAAATCTCTGTGTGGTAAGTCCATTTCTCTTGAACTGTTGCTAAATCTTCAGGTGCTACTTCTGTAGTAGCATCTTCCTCACTCGCTCAGATAAACAAGAATTGTTGGTCTACCGTGTAATTGCTGTGAGGCTAATCATCCAGAATGTACCAGGTAAAGTCCAAAACCTTTTCGTTTCCCTGTCTTGTACTTTATCAATCTTATTCTTGTTCTATTGAGTAAACACTGTTGCCGCCTTATTCTTATATAGCATAGGTTATATTGATTGTTAATATGGCTGTTGAAAGTAGCTTTAGAAAAAGAACTTAAACATCATATTCTGTAGTCACAAGGGCTTCAGCCAGAGGAGGCAATAACCCAGGGACATCAACCCCATCTCGCGCACCAATTGTAAAGACCCGTGTACATCTCGCCTCTTCTGGTACTACGCCTGCATTGCAACAGTCTAGCACTGAGGCAGCATAGGCAATACCAGGTGGACAGGATACTACACCTGTATCCATTAAAAGCCAGTGCGTGAAACACGACAAAACAGAAGAGAAACGCTCAAGACTTCATAAAACTTCGAAAGCGCCATTTAGAAAATGAAACGAATGTCAGGCCAGTGGTGTTATCGTTTCTAAAATTCATTCAGCATTCGAATGCAATTTTCGCAAACGATGGGTACACTGCCGTTGTGACAAAGGGGTACCGAAATAATACTACGAGTTTATGAGAAATAACCCGTGCCCATGGTTCTGTTACATCTGCCCACTTTGTCGCCCCGGCACAGTCTCACACAGTGTATTTGCGGATAGCAGAAGCAGCACGCCACTCTTGTGTCCCGACACAGTCATGCAGCTCCCCACCTGATAACACCACACTACCAAAACTTGGTAAAAACAGTAAGAAGGATACTCCAGTCCAACTGACTGGAAATGCCAATCTTCACAAAGTGAAGACTCCCAAGGTTGCACCTACAACATCGGGGGAAGATAGAATTGCCAGAGCACCAATAACATCCATTAGGAAGCTTGGCAACACAGCAAAGGCTGGCTAAAACCTGATGAAGCCTAAAGTTGAAGACCCTGCAAAGGAGTACAAGAAGCCAAAGGCCAAACCTAAGTCTGCGATCAGTCGGTCTAATTCCCTTATCCTGTTTAATGTACCCGTGTGCAATGAAAGCTTGCTTAAACAACGGCCCCTGTTTGATCAGGAACAGTGGTCCAACAGTGCAATTTGTGCAACAAATTAAGTCCGAACATTAGTTCAGCGAAATTGTGCAGGCTGTACAGGGGTGCCCGAGCACCCCAGGGTAAGCCACTCCCATTAAGGGTTACACTGCCGAAGAGGCCGAAAGGATACTATTACTGGCATAGATACTGGCTATCGACAGGAGTTCCATCATAAGAGTGAGACATGATGAACCATGGGCTAACAGACAAATGGCGAGGGAGTCACAGGAGCTGATGCCTTCTACCTCTATGGTCGTACACGGTGTTCCGGAGCTGGAAACTGGCACTGCTTGTGAAAAACACATGCATGACGTACAGCAATGGAGTTGGCTGTCATCCCAGATGACCCTTGGTGCTTCTGGAGCAATCTCCATTTTCCGACTACCTCGCTCCGCTCATTTCACACTGATTAGCTCTCCAAAGCTGCTAAGTGTCACATTCAACTCCACGGAGCAGTTAGCCATAGCACTTCAGCGGTGGTGTTAGAACAAGGGAAAAATGGGAGGACACATCCGACACTGCGAAAGCAGACTTCGAACCATGAGGAGGCAGCAAACTGAGGTTTTAATACGTCCCCAAGCTTCATTGACACTAGAGCGATGCAGTTCTGAGAATGAAAGTCAGCGCCACCCAAGTGTCCTACTTGAATCCAAGGGGAAAATGACAATGAGCCGGTTCCATCGGAATCTGCCAGCTAACCTCAATATTAGGTTCCCTACCGGCAGACAACGCAACGCCAGCTACTCCACAACACGCTAAGGTTATGAGACTCAGTGTCAGATGCCTATGTAGCTATGTGAGAGGGCTGAGAGGGAAAGTGGGTGAACTCAGAAACCTCCAGTCACAACTACACCTTAAAATAATAATCCCCACTGAAACGTGGCTAAACCCCACTATCGCCGACAACGAAATCAGTATAGGTGATGTGGTTCTGGTCAGGTGAGACAGGGATAACAAGGAGGGGAGGGAGTTGCCATATACTTTGGTAGGCAACTTAAATGTGTGCATTCAATGGACCCACCACTTATTGAACTCCCAGACTCCAAGTAGTATCATTTCACGTAGGCCGAACCAAACACTTACCGGGCGGCATCTAACGATCTCCCACCTGTAGGGCAGAGCACAATCAGTTACTGCTCAGCACTATCACAGGGATACGTAACTTGGGCTATGACCAAATCACCATAGCTGGAGATTTCAACACCCCATCACTGAACATTGGCTTGGGGTATGCTAAGGGAAAATTCGGTTGAAATCCACTGCAAACCATTTGAAATACGGGACTGACTGAGAATGTTGGAGACGACACTAGGTGGGGCCCTAGTAAAAGTCATCGAAACTAGGCTACATTCTAACTAGTGACCAACTACTCGTCGGAAAGGTTCAGATCATGACTCCTCTAGGAAGTAGTGACCATGTAGTCATAGGTTTCGATCTTGTTCTCCGTGAGCACTTGCAGTGGGACGTTACGCGACTATGTCTGTGCTATGAAAAGGCGGACTATGCTGAAATTCGGAGGCTTTTGTCCGACGAAGTATAGCCCTTAGCATGGGATGAGTTATCTGTGGATGAACACTGGGAAGTGGTAGAAGAGATTATTCACGCAGAGATCTCGGATACCGTCCTTTTAGTCACAACACAACCTAGAAAAAAGTCATCATGGCTGAGGAGAGATACGCAACGTATTCTGCAAGCGAAGTGGAAGGCTTGGTTTACTTGGCAAGTGTCCAAGAGTCAGACCGACCACGATGCATACCTGGAACTCAGCAACCGGTGCAACATGAGAGTCAGGAGTGCCAGGAAGTCATTCCAAGCTAACCTTGCCAAAAAAGCTCCTGGCGAACCCCAAAAGCTGGTTTTGGTTCATGTCGGAAAGAAAACCAACCAATCAGGGGGCATGTGCCTTAGTAGATCCAAACGGTCAATTTCTCACTAGTCTGGAGGTGGCTGAAAAATTCAGTTTAGCCTTCGCCAAACAGTTAAACAGCAATGTGGGCATTACTGGTACGGACCAAAGTGGCGGCACTACTATTTCACAGGAGGAAGACCTAATGGCTACTCTTCAAACAAACCCGGCAATAGTACTAGGAGAGCTACAGAGAATCACATCTGGAAAGACCCCAGGTTGTGACGACATTAGGCCATCTGTTCTGGAACAGTGCGCTGAAGTTCTCTGCAGGCCCTCATGGATTCGGGGAAACTTCCAAGGGAGTGGAGAAGAGCCACTCTTTCTCCGATCTTCAAAGGTGGGGATAGGCGAGATGATACTAGTTACAGACCAGTAGCCCTACTCCCAGTGGTATCAAAGGTACTGGAAAGTATTATTGATGATCACATCAGGGAGCACCTCGATATGACTAATAGACCCAATGAAGCCCAACACGGTTTCAGGAGAGGCAGATCCTGCGTAACAAACCTAGCATCAACTTGGGACGATTGGATGTCATGCTGGGATATGAAAATGCTAGTCCATGTGGTCTTCCTAGACTTTGAGAAAGCATTTGACACAGTTCACCATGACCTTCTCCTGTACAGAATACGTGAGGCAATTATAGTTGGGCCGTTTCTGTCATGGCTGAAGGACTACATGTCTGAAAGGAAATTTTGTACTAAGGTCAATCGAGTCCGATCATCTTGGCACAGGTCGTCATCGAGAGTGTCGCAGAGTTCTATCCTTTAGCCACTGATGTTTCTGATTTTTATCAAGGACCCACTGCCCGCCGCCCGACTCTTCTTTACCGTGGCAACGTAAAGATATGAAGGGTAGTAA